CAAAAAAAATATACCAAACAATAGATAAATATTTATATCTTGTATCTTATACTAAAACATATTTTTTTCAGCAAGTTATGGAAGTTTTAAGTAAAATAAATGAAAAAATGTCGAAAATTATAGATTTTTAAAGTTGTAATTTTTTTGAGGGATTTCCCCTATATACGAGGATGAAGTAATTTTTTCAACTCTGAGGTTAATGTCTTCAACTAGATACGATTTATGATCTTTTGACGTATTGTTTATTAAAATCAGACCAGTGAGAGCTGAGAATAAGTGGTAACAGACACAAAAAAATTAAAAAAATTAACACATCATAATAAAAAGATTAACATCGAATCTAAATATTGCTAACATTAGTTATAAATATATATATTTAGTATAAATATGCATTTATTAATATAACTGTTTTAATGGTTTTCTTGTAAGGTTTTGAATGATAATTGAGTTTGGTTATTTATTATTGTTAATAAAACTAAAAATAACTTTATCCGGTATATATTTATATCAATTTAATGATAAAATTCTAAAGCNTTTTTGAATGATAATTGAGTTTTGTTATTTATTATTGTTAATAAAACTAAAAATAAACTTTATCCGGTATATATTTATATCAATTTAGTGATAAAATTCTAAAGAAACCGCGCAGTATAAAATATAAATAAATGAAAATATAAAATGGAATGCCAAACAACTATATTATTTATTAACATGTTATTACATATTATTTTATTGTTTTAGTTTTGGTACAATAATATCTTTATTTTCAATCATTAAAAATAAATTTATGTGTGAAATTTTGTAGTATATGTCTTGAATATATAATTTTAATAGGTTTTCCAGAAAACTTTTTATTAAAGATTGTACATTTTACTGAATTTCCTCACAATTTGTAATAATTAGTCATTTTTTTTATGAAAACTTGAATATAAAATCTTATAAAAAAAAAGTTCTGTCTTACTATTTCTTCAATTTTTTCTTCGGCTTGGATGACTCAGGTGAATTTAATTTCTGAGATGAACTTTCACCAATTAATCCTGTAGGATCCAACTTTTCGTCAGTTGATTTATTGTCATAATCTTTTGCTGGAAGAATAAAAATATTTAAAAATACATTTAAAACACATTTAGACTTTTATAAAACATTTTATTTCGATAAATCAGTATTTTCTTCGTAGTTTTGTTTAAAATTATATAATATATAATTATTTTCAAGGAGTTATGGAGAATAGATTTTTAATTGGAAAAAATTAGTAATTAGTTATTAAAGGTAGGATTACCAATATTACAACTCTTTTATTGTGCGAAACTGGTAAGAATAAAAAAGTTTGGTATTCCTTATGTTGCGTTTCTTCAAAATGAAAGTATTATAATATACAACTAATTTTATAATATTTATAAGTTATATTATAACTTATAAATAAGCAAATATTTGATTTATGTCAAAGTATCAAAATAGTGGATTCTTTTCATTTTCATCGATATTTTTCAGAATATTTTCATTAAACATGATAAATTAAAAAAATGTTGAGTTAAATTTTTTCATAGACGATGACAAACTTAAATATTAACTTCAACTGCATTGTATAACTAAAAAAATATATTTTGTTTCTATTTCACCTTTAAACTTTTTAACGAATAATTTCAATGTAAAATTTTACCTTGTTCAAGAAAGTTCAATAATTCGGTGACTCCTTTTTGAGTTTTCTTTTTTTTTTCTATTATAAAATAAATAGTTATTAAAATTTGCGTGGTGTATAATATATACTTGTTAAATTGATATTAGTGTTCAGTTGCTCTGATGATTAATAGTTTGATTTATTTATAANTCTATTTCACCTTTAAACTTTTTAACGAATAATTTCAATGAAAAATTTTACCTTGTTCAAGAAAGTTCAATAATTCTTCGACTCCGGTCTCAGTTTTCTTTTTTTTTTCTATTATGAAATAAATAGTTATTAAAATTTGCGTGGTGTATAATATATACTTGTTAATCACCTATCAATTTTTTTATAACTAATTTTCCCGATTCCCCCTTTCTTATACCTTTTTTTTCCGGAATAGTATTCTTCATTACAAATTTAATAGTAATTATTGATATTATCATAAAAAAAAAACTTCAATGCATTGTGCATAAAGAAAGGCTTTAGAACAACTGTTGAAGGATAATATTGTAATCAACAAGATATGATTGGGTTCATTTTATAAATTGATCGACAATACAATATATGTGTATATATTATATTCCATTAAAATTATATAAAGGAAAGGAAATAGAATAGTTTGCAATGTACATCGCACATTATAGTAAAATTACTAGGTTTGCATAAATGCTACAAAATAAAATTTTATTTTTTACAGAAATGAAAAATAGAAAATTCTATAGTGAACCACTATATCTATCAACATTTCTTATGGTATAGATAAATTTAATGTTTTATTTTGCTAATGAGCGCGCGTTCGTTATATCCGGCCGTGTAATCAGAAAACTGCTGTCATCGTGAACACTATACACACAATATTCCTTATCAAGTTAATAATCGTTTCCTAAAATGACACATACGCTAGTTTCCAGTGTTAATACTGTGTGATTTTAGTACTATTTATAATTTCATCTTATTGATATTCAATAGATTGTTAGGTCGACACCTCTCCAGAACCGTCATCGTTAACAGTTTGTCTCGTCCGAATGTGTCAAAAAAACACAATCTTCTCATTGAATTATCATAGAGATATTTTGCTGTGTGCGTGCAGCCAACTTTTTTAGCGTGTGACCGATATTTTAAAATATATTGTAACTTTTTTAGGCGTCTATTTTCGAGATCCACATCTTAGCATGTGTTCCTTCAGAGACATAATATCGTATCATTTTTATAAATAGTAATAATGTTTTGAGTATTTTTTATTTAATTTTATTAAATTAATTATATTATAACAGTGATGTATTTACGTACATCTCTATAATGGAATAATAAACAAGAATAATTTTATTGCCTGAATTATTTCAATATTCACGTGTATCTCATATTTTCCACATCTAATAATTTTCCTTAATTCTAAGGTAACATTCTTCGACATACTAATGTGTCTCTACCACTGGTGACATCAAACAAAATGTATTTTATTTTATTTACAAGGTATCGGCGTATTATAATCTGCAACAACTATTTACATTTTGATGTATATATCTTATTATACAATAAAATATTTAAAAATTACTTTACGACGAATGAATTTCAAATATTTAAAAAAAATAAATATCAGAATAAAAAAGGCATAAAAATAAAATTATTTAAATTTAAACTATAATTTTTAATTTAGCTATTTTTTTTTTGTATTTCTGTAAAAAATGTTCATTTTTTAGCCTTAATATAAAGCCAAGAAAAGAGAAATTTAAAAAAATAATGCTATAAACACATAACATTATATTTTAAAAAATGTTATAAGAGCTAACAATAAATATTTCGTATATGACAATTACCTATTTCGACTAAATAAGGTGTAGTGGTTGGCGGTTTCATCTGATTATCTAAATATAAAAAAATAATAATAAGATTATAATCAATTAAAGTGAAATAATATGCATTAGCGTGGTTAATCTATGAACAGTAAACTACACAGTCGCCAAGTCAAATTTCAATGACAAATGATTAAAGAGGAAAAAAGCACTCGACCAATTTTACCAGCATCAAATTTAAATGTAGCTAGTAATTATTAATTAATAACTTCTTTTATGGTTCATTTAATTATTAGGGGTCTACATATTTTACCTTGCATTTCTGTAACTAAATTGTATTAAATTAAAATGAAATGTACGATAAAACCTACCAAGTACAATATTTCTGATAAACTGATTAAATTAGACATAATCAATATTTAAAATTTAAGTCTCGTGATACTAATAGAACAGATAAGATAAAATAAGTTTTATATTATATTATATATCTGTGCTATCACTAGGAAATAATAAATGAACAACCTGAGATATTATATGTAAATGATAGTATAAAGCCATAAAATTATAAAATCCTACACTTTCTTCACATTTTAGATTACTTTTCTTAAGAAAACACCATCATGATCTTTAATAATAAACTTTTTAATAATAGTAAACATAATTAAATTAATTTTTTTAGGGGTACCTATGTAGCGTTTTCATAATTAGTAGCTGTTCTCATATCCTTGTACATAAATATAAATTTGATATTGGTTTTAAAATACCAATAGTTTTAATGTTGTCTATAAGCTCCTAAGCAAGTACAAGATGATCTTCTTTACCTCTTCCTTAAATAGAACAGTCATAAATTAAAATTAATCAATAAAATATAAAATACAGAAGCTTTATTTAAATTATTGAATTTTTTAATTTATTACAATTTGAAAGTCTCATATATAAGATAAAATTTTTATATAACTCGCAAAGTGATTTATTTGAAAATAATAAAATTAGATTTACAAAATTTAAGTAACAATACATGTTAATTTACTTTGCTTTCTTCAATATCACTACACATAATCCATTTCCCATTTTTGTTTTCTTTCCATAAAGATACTTTACTACTTTCAGCAGAAACAGCAAGAACATTTCCAATTTTTGACCAACTTACAGTCCAAACACGACTATCAAATAAATTCATTCTTGTAGACATCCACTTAGAATAATCATCACTGCTTGAAACAACTACAGTTTTATCTTCAGAACAACTAGCTATAAGTTGTCTATTATCTCCAACAGTACAAGTCCATGCAATGTCTCGTACCCAATCAGTGTGAGAGTTAATCTCACCAACTTGTACCCACTGATCACCATCATCCGCCCAAATTTTAACTAAATTATCACATCCTCCTGATGCTAAAACCAATCTTTTACCAAAATTCATTTGATCAGGTCCAAATAGAGGTTCTTTATAAGGTGCCCAAGCAACACAATTACAGCCATTATGATGAGCACCAAAAGATTTAGAAGACCATTCTTTGTTGAAAACATGTACAGCAACAGATCCATCTGAACTAGCACTAGCCAGTATAGTTCCATGTTGATGAGGTGCCCAAGCAATAGAATTAACTGAAGATTCATGTGCATATTCAAATATATTGAACCAATCATTTGATTCTTTCCATACCACAACACGTTTATCATAAGAACAGGAAGCTAAAAGATGACCCGATACAGGATGGGACCAAGATATTTGCCAAACAGGTCCATGATGGCCTTTAATATCAGCTATAAGGGTTTTGTTTCCATTATGAATACTATATATTTTAATTGATTTGTCACTAGAACATGTAGCAAGACGTTGTCCATAATAATCTAATTCAGCATCATGTACTTCACCTTCATGTTCATTAAGAACTAAGCCATACATAGGAACCATCTTCATTCTTTCAATATGACCACTAATTTTATACCTGAATTGTAAAAATAAATAATTGATAAGATTATAATGAAATTGAATTTATTGAAAACCAATTAATTTATCTAAATAGTCTATAACAATGAGTAGTGCATATTAATGTGAAATTAAATTAAATACATTTATAGATATTATTTAAGTAATTTTAAAAGATACCAATTAATGCAAATTTGTTGTTATTTTTTACAATAATGAAGAAATATTGTATGTTATAGAAAGTTAACCCTCTAATTATCTCAATTCTAAAACACAGGTAGAACACATAACAAGTTTTTAAGCCTATTAAAACAAATTTGTCCTGACTGATGATGAGTTTGAAATAACTTAACAAAATTAATAAATGCATATAAATCTGTGTTCTACTTAATTATTAGAAGGAAATACAGGATGCAATTAATCTGGGTAGCATTAAGTAATTAAGCAATATAAATAACAAATGAAAGACCTTTTTTTTTTTTTTTTAATCATAAAAAAATAGAGAAAATTTTTGTACAAATATTGATATGAGAAAAATAAAATGGTCATTAGGGAACAATGGAAATGAGAACCCCAAGCGGCACAATTTCTAAATACAGACTCTCTACTAAAGAGTTTTATAAATATGATAAAGTAAAAAACACTAATTCTATTAATGGTACAAGAATCATTAATTTCTAATAATTTGTAAATAATAAAAATACCTATAACTTGGTTTATGAAAACATAAGCACACAACTTAACAAGTTTTCACACAAAGCATTAGCTAATCAAAAACTAGAACAAAAAATTAATATCTTGAAAATTATATAAGGTTATTTTAAGACAACCATTAACTAAGACTTTAATAGTGAAATCTATAAGATAATACCAAAAATTAAGATAATGCTAGCAGATTTACAAATATTATGTTAAAATGTCTTATCATGACTTCAAGGGATCAAAATACTAAAATTTTAATAAATTCTTAAAGATTGAAACAAACAAAATTGCTAAAAATTAGTTACAGCGGCAATAACTATTACTTCTTTGTAATATTAATTAAATAAATCATTAATTTTACCTGTAGAAAAATAAAAAATGGAAAAAATTGTAAACATTTAATATGGAAACTTCAAAATTAGTTTTTAAAGCTAATTAAAATAACTATTATATAATTAGTAGTTATAAGTAATTTTGAATTATTACAATGAAAGAATACAAAATTTTTTAATTAATTAAATTTTACTATCAATATAGTTATCAATCAATTACACTATATCTTTACGCCACGACATAAAAATTTTGGATATCACATAGAGTAATATTACACTATGGGATATCATAGATAAATATAATATGATAATAAAAATTGTTTTATCATCGTTCGCGTGTCGTCGTTTATAAATGATAACATTTTATTTGCTAAACTGCTACGTGATTCAAATCATTATTCCAACAAAAATTTGCAACAAAACATCTTGATTAAAATTTATTATAAGTATTAATTAGATCACCTAAGTAATATTTTTGTAGATTTTACTGATTATTTATTTTAGAGCGTATATTTAATCTGTAAGTAAGGAAATAAATTTAATTAGCTTTTTGCCTAAATAAAATGTATTTAAAAAATAATATTCATGTTTATTACATTAATAAAACAATAAGTAATGCATTATTATTTTCATAATTTTCATTCATAACTATTTTTGAATAACTAACTTGGAATTGATGAAAGTATTATTTATTTTAGAAGTAATGTCTTGTATTAAGAGATCACAACCCATTTGGACTGTTGGAGATTCATCCAAATTACCTCAATTGAAACTATTCAATAGTTTAACTAGAACAAAAGAGTTATTTGTACCAAAAAATGGTCATAAAGTATTATGGTATAGTTGTGGTCCAACTGTTTACGATGCATCTCATATGGGTCATGCTCGGTAAAAACAAATTATTCATATAGTAACTAATAATTTTTTTAATAAAATTGTTCTTTCAGGAGTTACATAACTTTTGATATATTACGTCGTGTACTACAAGATTATTTCTGTTATAATGTTGAATATGTTATGAATATTACTGATATTGATGATAAAATAATTAAACGTGCACGGCAGCTATATTTATTTGAAGAGTATATAAAAAATACAAAGGATAAAAAAATTGTCCTGAATGATTTACATCTTACGTTAGATAAATTAAAAGAAAATATAGATCAGTTGGATTCTGATAAAAAAATAATGACACTAAAATCAATTGAAAATCTAAAACAAACTTGTGAAATATTTGAAAAGTCTAATATTGCTATGGATGACTTAAAAGTATGTACATATAAGCTTAAAAATGTTTTTCATTTAACTAAAAATTATTTTTAACATAAAAAAAAAATATATTATACTTGTTCATATTCATATCTGAAAAATATATTATCTAAGATATAAAAATTATTGGATAATGTAGTTTTATTTCAAATTCTATGAATATTTTGTGCAAATTTTATTTTAGTATAAAAAAAACAATTTTATACCTATAATTATATCGCTTAAATATACAATATATGATTTAAACCAAAATTTTTCATTTTTCTGAATTTTGTAAAAAAAATAATGATAAACTATAATCCAGACATTTTTCACTAATTTAGGTGTAATAATTGGGCATTGTGGTCTCCGGCACCCGCAGAACCAAAACGGGAGCGGTGCTCCTGGAGGTTTTGGGTACCGGAGCTCAGCTAACCTACTAGGTGCCAAGATTGGGGAAGCGCTGGACGGCATGGACATCTGCGTATACCGCTAGGCGATTTCCGTGTCGTTCATGTTGTTGGATGTGGAGGAGTGGGTAGTAGAAGAGGACGTCGTAGAGGTGTTGAGGGAGTGGCTGTGACTCAGTTCTTAATTAATTTCGGGATGAGTCACAACACAGCTGTGTGAGTTTTAATGCGACATTGGTCGTCCTGAAGCAATACCTCACGGTAGTTCCAGGGCAGCCAACTGTATGTCGACCGTGTTGAAAAAAAAAAGGTGTAATAATTGGTTTATTATTAGAAAATGATATAATTAACAATTAAAAATTTTTAACCATTATTTTAGAACATATTATTATTTGTATACCTGAGATGTATGAGAAGAAGCATGGCTAAGAAATATAAAATTATAATAATATTCAGACCTGTACCCGACTCCTAATTCTTATCAAAGGTATTAATATCTTCTAAAATAATGGATTATTTGTTTTTATTGATCTGTCATTTTCTTAATTAAATATTTTTCTAATTTGTAATTTAGTGAAATATTTAAGTAAGAAAGAGAATAGAACTAAATGTCTTTTGATAATATCCTATTCAAAAGGTTCTATGAACATATTTAGTATGAAATATAATAAACAAATTATTTTATACTTATGATGATATTACACAGGGTAAAGTTTAACAACTACCTTGTAAATATTTCATCCTTAAGTTATATAATTTACATTTGGAATAATTTTTACACATTATAAAAAAAAATGAATATTTAATTAATTTTTTTTTTTTTTTAATACATTTAGTCTTCTCTAAATAAAGTTAAAGATTCACTCAGTGCTTATTTAGATCAAAGAGAAGGTTCAAGTGTTTCAGAAAACTCAATTTTTGTGTCATTACCTCGTTTTTGGGAATCAGCTTTTCATTCTGATATGACTGCCTTAAATGTATAATTAAAATCTTTTATATTTTTTGTAGTAATAGAAATCTTAAAGTAATTAAATTATGTTTTTCAATAGATTTTATCACCGGATAAACTGACTCGTGTAAGTGAATATGTACCTGATATTGTCACTTATATTCAAAAAATAATTCAAAATGGTTATGCCTATGAATCAAATGGTTCTGTTTATTTTGATGTTGCTGCTTTTGACTCTAAACCAAACCATTATTATGCTAAACTTGTTCCAGAAGCATATGGAGATTCTAAATCACTTCAAGAAGGAGAAGGTCTATGATAATTTTATTTATATGAAACATATTTTTCTTTTTTCTAATATTTACTCCTTACAAGAAGTATTATGCTTTTATTTTATAAAAAAAAATAATGCAAAGTGATATTATTTTTCTTTTCATTTTCTTATTTATTATTATTTTAGGTGATTTATCCAACTCCACTTCTGCTGAAAAAAAATCACCTAATGATTTTGCATTATGGAAACAATCAAAATTAGGTGAGCCATGGTGGGAATCTCCGTGGGGTAAAGGTAGACCAGGCTGGCATATTGAATGTTCAGTGATGGCATCAAGTATATTAGGTGAGACTATTGATATACATACTGGAGGCAATGATCTTAAATTTCCACATCATGATAATGAAATAGCACAGGCTGAAGTAAATATATTTTTCATTTTACTTTAATCTTTCCTTTATTTTTTATTTTTTTTATTAAACCATATCACCCTAAGTATTTTATTTAAGTTTATTTTATTATAAATTATTTAACTATTAGTAAAAATTGTTTTTTTAAGGCTTACTATGATAATGAAGAATGGGTTCGCTACTTTTTGCATTCTGGACATTTAACAATATCAGGATGTAAAATGTCAAAATCACTTAAGAATTTCATTACTATTGAAGATGCTCTTAAGCGACATACATCTAGACAGTTGAGAATTGCTTTCCTTTTACATTCATGGAAAGATACATTAGATTATAGTGAAAATACCATGGAAACAGCAATAAGTTGTGAAAAGTTCCTTAATGTTAGTGAAGTTTACTTTAATTAATGATTATTAAACCTATTTCATTAGTGTATAAAGAGTTAAAAAAATACAATTTTTTCTGTGTTTTGATTGAAGTGGGTTTTTTTAAAAATGTATTATAGAAAAAAAATGCTCTTTTTTGTACCCTTTAATAATTTTCTAAAATTATTGATACATTGTGTGTATCATATATAGTTACATTCATATTTAATTTTTTTTTTATTATTATCTATATACTTCTTTGACAAAATTCGGGAACTAATATAAAATTAACTTACAATTACAATTTGATATCAATATTTAAGTATTTTATTAATTATATTTTAAATAAATTTTATATTTATTTTCAATATTTCTAAAGAATCATTTTAAAAATGTTCATAATTAAATACTTAAACTTTTCAGTTACTAAACTATATTTATCTGTATAACATAATTATCCAATATTTTATTTTTATATAAAAACTCATAATCAAAGATTAAAATCATAATCAATTTTTTTCAAGCCGATGCTGCTGCTATCAAATTATTTTCAACTCTTATTCAGGTTATTTTTGCTTAATTATTCACTTTGTAATCTAATAAAAATATTTTTAGTTTGTTTTTTTTTGTAACTTTTTAATTTGTAAGAATGTATACAATTAATATATTTTGTGTTTTAGGAATTTTTCCTGAATATTAAAAATGTAACTCGGCGGTGTGACACTGACAAATTAGCTGCATGTTATTCTAAGTGGTCAACTTTAGAAAGAGAGTTAGACAAAAAAATTATTTTATGCAAATCAAATGTTCATTCTGCTTTATGTGGTGTGTAATTTATATATTTTATTATTGTAAACATTTTTCATTATTCAAAATGTTTTTTATATGAAAAAAATTTAGATAATGTTGATACAAAATCAGTATTAGATGCAATAAGGGAATGCATATCTGCTTGCAATGTGTATTTAAGAGATTGTGATATTGCAACATTAAATGCTAACTTATTACTAAATGTTGCTAAATTTATTACTAGTATATTAAAAATGTTTGGTATTAAAACTGCTGAAGAGATTGGTTTTCCGGTATCTGATGGAAATACTTCTAATGATGTTCGTAAAGATTTTTATTTATATGTCATGTACTTTTATTCATATAAAATAATTCTTTAGGTTGAAACAATTGTTACACCATTCTTAAGTATTTTATCAGATTTTCGTGATTCAGTTAGAACTAATGCTCGCACAATACCATCCAAAGAAATTCTTATTTTATGTGATAAACTAAGAGATGAAATTCTACCTGAAGTAGGAATACGCCTTGAAGATGCTGAAGGCAAACCAACTGCTGTAAAGTTTGTTGGCAGAGAGACATTGTTACGTGAAAGAGAAGCTAAAGCTAAAGCAGAAGCTGATAAACTTGCAGAAAAAGAAAAGAAGAAGAAAGAATTTGAAGAAGCAAAAGCAAAAAAAGAAGAGTTAAAAAAAGTAAATCCTAAGGATTTATTTAAATTGGAAACTGATAAATATTCTGAGTTTGATGAAAATGTAATACAATTTATATTTATAATAGTGATGTTCAAACCATTTGATTTTCAAAAAAAAAAAAAAATCTGTTTGATTCAGTTCGAAAATCTAACTAGTAAAATTTAATAATATGGTAAAATAAATAATTATATATTATAATATGTTTTGTCTGAAAATGATACAAATTTAACATTTGGTTTAACCCTAAAAATCAGGGTTTGTAACATCACTAATGATAATTTAAAATATTTTTACTCTGAAGTTAATTGTAATTTTGCTCTACAGGGACTTCCTACTATTGATATTCAGGGTAACAAAATTAGCAAAGGATTAACTAAAAAACTACAAAAAATTCAATCAACACATGCTGTTCTACATCAACAATACTTAGATAGTTTATGTAATAATTAATTTATAAATTTATAGACTGTTAATTTATAAAACTTAAAAAAAAATTATATTCAATTTGTTATTAAATAAGTCCTAACACTAACAAATATAACTATTTATTTTTGTTATATTAAAAGATCATTGAAAATTAAACTTCCTAAAATGTAATTTACAAAATAGTTTTATCAAACTTTTCATAGTATCACTATGAAATAATTACTTGTCTCAGATATAAAAATATTGGATCTACAAAAAATTGAATTTGATTAATATATTCAATATGATAAAAAATTATTCAGGTATTTGATTTTTTAATTAATATTGCATAATTAATTAAAATAGGAACACTTAAATTTTTACAATTTACTTGATAACTTGCTTTTTTTCATTGAGCCAAAGCAGCAGATTTTACTATTGTGGGAGGGCTAATGCCAAAGTAGAACTTAGTGTTTTTTCTTTTATCATAGCAACTATTATTTTTAATTAAAACGTCACCTATACAATGAATATTATACACCTAATATAATGATACTATTTATTGTTATACACTAAACTGTGATAATAGTTTACTGAATATTGTAAATGATCAAGTAAAGACTTTTTGTTTAACTGAGTACAAACTATGTAAAACTAGATTAAAATAATTAATGAACACATACAATTTTACTATCACTTCAACTACTATAGTTCTATAATTCAAATATAATAAAACATTAGAAAATTAGCCAATTCTGAAAAAATTACTAAACGATGTCTGATTTTTTTAATTAAAATAGCTCGATGACGTTATTCTAAGAAAATTATTCATGAAAATAAGGCAATTTTTTATCATACCGTGAGCGTTTAAAAATTTTCTCAACAATTCTTATTGCCGCCAGCGTTTTTCATTTTAAAACCTGAAATTTTTACCACAGACATTCCAGATGTACCCTGAAAATTTCGTTGAAATCTATTGATTTTCAACCGAGTTATGAGCTTTTAGCTTCGATGCGAAGTTGAGAAGATATTGGTTTTACTACGATGTGTTTACTTTTTTTTTTGTGTGTGTCTGTTACCACTTTTTCTCAGCTTTCACCGAACCGATTTCTTTCAATGATACGTCAAAAGATCACAAATCGTATCTAGTCGAAGACATTACCCTTAAAAATTGAAAAAATTTCCTTCATTCCCCGTAAATGGGGGAAACCTCCAAAAAAATTACAAATTTAAAAATCGCTAATTTTCGAAATTTTTTCAATTTTTTTTACTAAAAACTGCCGTAACTTTTTCAATGAACATATCAATATAATTTTTTTTTTATAGATGCTTGATATCTTTACCTATCATTTGGTATATTTTTTTTATAAATCTGACTTTTTACCTGCCTACAGGGGGGGATTCAAAATTGAATCTTTTGGAATAATCCACCAATTTTTTAAATATAAACACTATCTAAAGATTTGCATCGAAGCGTTTTTTTTTGATAGTGATTTTAATCACTGTCAGATATCATTATACTTGATCCAACTATGCCACGTCACCACTGTGCCGCGACCCCCCTGTGCTGGGTTTTTTTTTTTTAATTACTTAGTAGACCAATTACTAATATTGTATAATTCAATCAAAATCTCTTAAAGTGGTAGGATGTACCTCTTGTTTAGGAAAGACATACATAATACATAACTTGAATTAAGTTAATGTATGTCAACATGCCCTATTAAAAAAATTATCAAAAAATTATTATTTTTTTCATATTTTTAATTTTTGCTATAATTTTTTTTTTAAATTAAAGTTTATTACATAAGCTTTAATTTAAGATATATAAAATTGTCAGTATTTCTAGAACACTTTCAAAAAATAAATTGAAAATATCCTACTTTCAATACGCATGTTTAAAATTTTGACCCCCCTTGTATAAAAGGGTATGATCCGATTTACAAAAAAGTTTGTCAGATGAAAGGAGTATATAAAAATTATTTATAATATATCATTATACTTGACCCAACTATGCCACGTCACCAGTGTGCCGCGACCCCACTGTGCTGGGTTTTATTATTTATTCTCGCTGCCCGAATTTCCTACGCTACTTTGCTCCATGAAAACGATTTTTTTTTTTTCAATTTTGATCATATACTACTGTAATTTATATGTTTCGAAAAATCCGAAGTCAGACCAAAATTTTACCGGTTATGAACATTTAAAGCCCATGCGCTCAGTTTTTAGTAAGATATTAGATTTTGCTATGTGCATTAAAATTTTTTTTAATTATATGTTAGCTTATTTAATTTTTACTAATAACACGGCATCTATTGATTACTTTTAATGATTATTTAGTTTTATATCTCCCTGTTGTTTTGAATAATAATAAGTGGGTTATTATGAAGTATAATTGTAAATACACCCGATCATTTTGTAATCGTATTATTTTTTAAACTATTATTTGATCTAAAAGTGGGACTATTTTTCTGGAAAACTGAGTTATACATTTTTTACACAACACATATCGTGCCTAGCATAGCCCGATACTCCTACTGCTAAAATCAGTGGCCTACCTGTAAGGACTTAACGCGTCATAGTCGCGTGTGACCCACAGAGCATCGGGTCTTGGACAAAGCATCAGCTCGGCGAAGCCTAGTAGTCCTTATAATTCAATAGAAACGTATTTTATTTATTTATTCTTTTTAATTAACAAGAATTATTTAAACATATTATACGCCTTATAAAATTATGGACTACCAAATATGATGATTCCATATTTTTTTGCAAAAACTTTCCTCAATATGAGAATTAAAAATATTAATTTAATACGTGAGTTGATTGAAAAATAATTAAACAATATAATAATTAAAATTTTAGAACTATAAAAGGCGTTGAACAAATTAGTTTCAAGGAAATGTGCCACACCTGCCTTTAGAGAAAATTTTGCCATTGTTTAATGTAACGTATTTTGAAAACAAATCAGAGTTACGACTTATTATATTTTTAATAGAAAAAATGCTTCTATTAAATTTATTTTTATAAAATAAGCAAAAAATCCCATAGAATCCTATCAAAAAAACTTTAAAATTTTAATGCGTGATTTATTAAATTTTATGTTTAAATAACAATACATTTTCAAATATAACAATATGGCATTTAAGATTTTTAATTTAGAATAATATAATTTAATACTATTTAACGTTTTACATATGAAATGTGTTATGACTCATACTTTTAATCTATATTATACAACTTTAAAAACCCAGCACAGAACTTAAATTTTTTAATTCCTGTAGAGTCGTCACCTTTTAATACTGAAGAGATTTATATCAGTAAAAAAGACTTATTTTTGCTTTTCGTCTATGTTTGTCTCGTTTTTTAAGTGCGGATCTCTGAGCAAGTACATTGATTAAATAACCCTTATATTGTATAATATGCTTGTCATATCTTTTTATAAATTACAATTATTTGTTAATGGTTATAACATCACTCAATAATTTTTAATGGGCAGTTTTTTTAGGAAATGTAGACTATATACAATACATGGGAACGGGTCATAAAATCATATGTTATCCACACAACATAAGCTTAAACTAATTAGATGCGGTTAACACATATTATTTCTTTATGCCTTTTGTTTGGTTGCTTCGAGTCTCACGGATGATAAAAAATATTGATAAAATAAAATTCCTTCTACGAAAAAATTAAACACTGTCTCATTATATTATGTACTGCAATATTTTTCACAGATGTCACACCAACGATATAAAATTATTACAACGCATTATGAATACATGAAAGTCGATGAAAAAACTACGCACTTCCCTTGTAAATGATAAAATTCAAATCTATTGATGAAATCGAGTTATTTTATACAAAAGAAACAGTTCTATTTCATTTTAAAAATTTTTGCTTGAAAGGGAGCACAGAAACGTCTGAATCAAAGGTCACCGGTGCCGGACGATAAAACAAATTCGTCACGGACACAACGCGAAAAAATTTGAATACAACAGTTCGGTGTTAAAATTTGAATAAATGACCATGTGGTAATTTCTCCCTTTTATGACTGTCGATATTCACTCTTACAATTATGATTTCCCATAGAAGTCGCGCACCCTCCAATCAAATATCGTGTGGAGCATAGTTTTTTTTTTTACTTTTACTGAAAAAATACACAATTTCTACTATACAAATGATTCTGATGATTTCTGCAGTAGAATGATTCAATTGCTGGACGCGTACTGAGTTCGCGCCATTTTTGGTACAGCAGATCTATGTGACGCACATGTACCTGTTGGGCGCTGACACCTGGAATGATCAGCTAGTGATTTTTTGATTGACAACTTAATAGAAAACAATAAGCTGCTAAGTCACGGTCCAATGGATTTAAAGGCGGCTGTATGGTAACACGCTTTTTACGATTGCGGATAGACAAAAGTATAATTCTAACGTGCGATAACGGTATAGTCGCCAAATGATTATTGTTTTGCGGTTTTTTTCTTTTCCGTGCACTTATAAGTAAATTAAATCTCGTTTCCTCACCCCCTCGCACTCGTAAAATCTAAACCAAAAGCAGGTAACAATACCGTTGCAATTAAGGTCACAAATCTATGGGATAAATTTAGTTTACTTATCAAACGCGAGTGATTCTATGTCAATCACAACATTTAAATTAAAAAACGTTTTTTAGGTAATTTTTTTTTTTTCGTTAGTTAATAATAATGAACTAATTTGAAGTACACCAGGCACGACTAACGCGATGGATATATTATTACGTTGTTAAAATAATATTTGTTATATTATTTACAGACTTCAGTTATGCGGGCCGTTAGGGTATAATGAATTCGATGAATCTCGTGTGTCATACAATTCATATAACGACAACTGTTTACTTCTGAGAAAGAAAATCTCTCTGTCGCCAAACAAAATGCTGTCTCGCACATACCTTGTTTAATGTCTTGATTGACCAAAATTGGTAACATTATTATTTCAGTATTTTTGTGAATTTCGTTCCATGGGATTTCCCATAACAAAAATTGTGTAACGGTCGCAATTTAGTTAGAATGCAATAAAAATAACCGCCGTCTTTGTTTCGATAGGTTAATTTAAATTTGCAGTCATCGATTTTTCTTTATGTCATTGTTTATCTACTATAGACGCAACTGTAATTATATTGCAACATTAGCTGTGCAGTGTAATATTACTTATGAGATAGGCGATTATGGAAGT